GCTGTGCAGCACTCGGGAACAGAGGTCTGGCCAAGTGCTGCAGTGCTCCCCCTGAGAGTGGGCAGTGGTGCCGGGGTGCATGTGCACGCACTGCCTTTAATAGCAACGGGTGCAGCATGTTTTCAAAGTCACTTATGTGCTTGTTTTCTTTACTACTTTTAGTAACTTGTAAAATGCTTACAGCCAATTATTTGAACAAACAATGTCATGGAGGATAATCTCAGTCTTGGCAGTGCTATTGGCTGGACACAAACATCTCATAAAAGAAATGCTTTGGAAAAGTTTTCTGCATGCTGGAGGTGGAAAGAGCACCCCTCTTCCCTCCAAACTGCCTCTGCCACACTCTAGACACTGAACTGCTTCAAAAACTGACTTCTTCCAGCAGATGAATGGGACCAGAGCTCTCTGGTACTGTACTCTGATGGGTCCTGGCTGGATGGCCTTTGTGTTCACTGCTGTGCTGCTCCAAAGTGGAAAAGCAGGGCTTTCCCCAGGCCTGCTCAATGCTTCCATTTGAAATCGTGGCTCCAGGAGGGAAAGTGAAACACTGACCAAGGTTTTCCCTTTAAAAATGCTAGCAGTTCTCCCTCCTGGCCAAAACACTGGGTTTGCAGACACGCGGTGTCAGAACTGATCATGCTTCAGAGGTACGTGAGACAGCGTTAAGACCCAGCATGCCAAGGCAAGAACTGCAGATGTTGGGTGTGCGAGCAGGACTCTCTGCCTCAGCCACCAGTTTTCAGCTGGTCACTGCTCACAACTGCTTTCCTCCCTAAAGGCCCCAAAAAGGATGTGAGAAAGCAGCCTTCTTTGCAGGAGTGCTCTGGGGCTGGGGAAGGATGAAGTAGATACTCCAATCTTACTTGCAAGACTGAGCAATTAACCCCTAAAGAAACCCTTAAACAAACAAATGCGAGAAGGAGGAATGCATATAAAAGTTTACGGAGTGCTGGGGGAACCCAGCTGCAGGGGGGATGGTTTCAGTGTGTGTGTGCAGAAGGCCTGTCGTTCGGCACGATGCAAATACGCCATCCAGCACAATGGAAATCATTGCTTCCCCGGCAGCGTGTGGGTGCTGGGTGCCCAGCTCCTGCTGCCAGCCCCGGAACCAGGGAGTCAGGGCATCCTGCTGTAAATCAGCACCAAAGGGGTCAGAGCCATCCTGACCTCCTACATGGGGACATACATCCTGGGGAGCACATTTATGAGAGACTTTTTTTCCCCTCTTCTTTTCTCAAAAGGAGCAAATCAAGCCCATGAATACAGTCTGCATCTGGATCACACATTGCTTTGAGGATTTGGCAGGCTGGCAAGGTTTAACCTCAAGAGCTGGCTCTGACAGTCTGCTGGCGCAGTTGGGTACGCTGCCTGTTCAGAATATTCCATCCCTGACAGCACTTCCCTGCAAAAGCCAAGACCTAGGGCTTGGAGTGCATGAATCCATTTTTTTTAATTTGCACAATTGATCAGAAGTTGCTATTTGAATTGTGTGTGTGTGTGTGGTTTTGTGTGGGTGGTTTTTTTGGTTTTAGGTTTTTTTGGGTTTGGTTTGGGTTTCTTTAAACGCTTCTAGTGACCTCTTTTGGTGCATGGGCTTGAGAATAGAAAGGTAAACCTGAGTGCTGCGTGTGAACATGCAGCAAAATTTCTTGTTTCTCTTGAATCGTGATTTTTTTTTTTTTTTTTTTTTGTATAAAAGACATGCATGAAATCCTTCCCCAGATACATGCCCCAGGAAACACTAACTCCTCACCATTTAACATCAAACAGGTCTTCCTGTGGTGAAAACTCCCAGCTTTTGTAACTTTGCAGCCAGATGAACAGTAAAGAGGCCGAAGACTCTGCCCCTGTGCTGAGCTGTGTGCTGGGCTCTGATACAGCAGATCCATGTGCTGGATTTACCAGCCTGGCTGTGGAAGCTGGACAAACATGTCCTGCAAGCTCAGGGGGCACTAGCTCAGCTGCAGCGCTACATGGCACAAGGTTGGCTTGTGCACGGGTAGCTTAGGCGTCCTTATCGGGTGTACCTTCTATTTCACAGCCATTTGTGTACAGGCAATGCTCAGAAATAGTGGGAGGAAGAAAGAAATAGCAGGGGAAACAGAAGAGGGAAGGGTTTTGTACCTTGGCGAAATGGAGCTTTGGAGTAAGGACTTGGGATCAGATGAGGAATCGGATGCATTGAGCACTGGCGGGGGGAAGAATGGGAGCAGAATTTGGCAAAGGGCAGCCGGAGGTATGACCCCCATCGCACCAGGTGCATCAGGCCCATCGGTCGTCTACTAAGAGTTATGAACCCAGCACAAAGTTTCAAACAGTTTTGGAGGTAGAGCAGAATAGACACAGTCTGTATCTGTGAGGATCAAAAATGCATCTGGAAAGGAAAACATTACATTTAAATCTAAACAATTTGTGTTTGTTATCTTTGCAAAATAAACATTCTCATGCATTTGACTTTTTCCCCTGCTTACAAAGCATGCTGGATGTTTGATGAAGGATGGAGCAAGATCTTTCACTGGTTGTTTGTGTGCAAAGCAACTAGCAGCAAGAATTCCTGGCTGAGGGTGGCCTGTCACATACTGATAGTAAATATTGAATGAATACGGGTCAGAGTGAGTGCTGACATCTCGGGTCACTCACCTGAGAGCCAGCAGTCCTCTGGACCCGAGGCAGGGTATGTACCGGGGGGATCGGTGGCAAAAGGTGCATTTCTTCTCCTTCACAGTGGGACACGTGACCTCTGCACTTGCACATCCCACGTGCTCCTACTGACCTGCTTGCTAGATGTTTGGTTTGAAGAAAGGGCAGAGTTCTTGCAGCATGTCTCTAGAAGGTGCATCGTCTGTTTAATGTCTCTTGAACAAAACAACAAGTCTCCTGGTAGTAGTTGTAGTATGTGGGAACTGAGTGCAAATCTTCATCTTAAAGCTTTTCAGTTAAGTCCTGACTGTTTCAGCCCCCAAGCTATTATGGATGTTACTGTTTCCTTTACAAATATTCTTTATTTTTTGTTGAGTAATGCAAATTTCAGTGATTCCAGCGTGTCTCCCCTCCTCCTCTGCCTCTTCCATGACAATCTCAAATGAGGGTGGGCAGGAATGAGTGGGGAAAGGAAGAGGAAGGGATGCCCCAAAATAAAACTAAAGATGTATGTAAACATTTATGGAATGGGTGAGTGTGTGCATTGGGGAGGTTCATATATATCTTGAGATAACAAGGATGTGCTGACATGTATGTTGTCTAAGTCTGGCAGTGACATGCAGTGCTTGAGCCTTTGGGACAGATGAGGTCTCCCATCCTGTGCAGTGATTTGGTATTACCCTCCCTCAAGATACCTGTGATGTTTGGGTCTGTTTCTGTTTTATCTGCTCTCAGCATGTCATTTCATGGAGCTATTTCAGCTTTCTTTCCCTTCCAGTGTTTGCCCCAAGCACAGGTACTCTGTGTGCTTGCAGCCTGCCAGTCCTGACCACTGACTGCTTTGTCGTTGTGTCCATGAAGCAGTAAATCAGCTGCACTGTGATAAATAGAAATGCTGCGTGGGATTCCCCTTCTTTAAATAACCCAGTCTCCTTTTGTACAGAAAATGCCAAGAACTGGACTCTTAATATGAGGCAGATAAAGCTAAAAGCTGCCAAGGACTCCTCTCTCTGCCTTGAGAAGTAGTGCTTTCCTCCAGTGGATGTATATGAGTTTGCTGATGAGCTTTTCCAGCACTCTCTGCAGCTCTTTCTCGGTCAAAGACACAACTGGGCAGAAAGGTGAGTTTGTTCTCCACAGCCTGCTCAGCCCTTGGTTCCTCTGAAGATGCTGCTAAAAGACTATTTTCCCTGTTCCATCTCTCTTCTGGGTCACCTTGGTGTAAGCAGAGCTGGTTATAGAGCCTGTGATGCCTGTTGCCTCTGCTGTGCTGCACAGTCCCAGAGCAAGAGCAGGCACTGGGGATCCCTCAAACCGCCACGGTTGGGTAACCCTTGCTGCAAGGCTGTGCCAGTGTTCAAAGAATGGGATGAGCTTGGGTCCAGCCCTGGCTGGTGATGGACAGCCAGCCAGCAGCAGCTGGCTGGGGCAAAGGGACATGTCACTGGCAGGGACTTCTGTGGTTGCTTTCCATCTTGCACGTGCAGCCTTGCCTGGGGAGCACAGCACAGATGTCCCCAGTAGATGGACTGCTGCTGCACAGGAGATTACACTCAGGGTATCAGGGCAAAATGTTTAAGGCTTATGGATGCTTACTTTGCCCCAGTGCTTATCCTCCAGCAGTCGCCTTGGAGCTCCTTCCAGGGAGAGGAGGCTGGGGCCAGGCAGAGCGTGTGACGTGAGGAAGAAGCAGATGTAAAAACTCAGTTTTGTGTGAATGGGAAGTCGGCGTGAGCACGCAGCCTTGCCGACCTGCTCGCCTTAGTCGTGTGCTACCCCAGTGCAATCTCAGCCAAGCCTGCTCTCTGCCACGTGGATTTGTCCTGCTGCTCTCCTCAGTTTGAGCAGTGTGCATGACTTGGGCAGTGGCTTTCCTGTCCTACTAATTGGGAGTCAGGATCGTCCCCCTTACACAGGCAATGCTGGTGTGAATGCTGTGATGTTCCTCCGCTTCCTGTCTCTGTGTGTTCACAACGTGGTCAGCTCTGCCAGGACTAACAAATGTGCTGGGACTCCATAGGGTGCATGGGAATCCCTCTGCCCTCAGAGATGCGTGAATCCTTGCATGGAGGCTCGCACGTGCTGCATGTACACCTGGGGGGCAGAAGGGGGCTGCATGTGGGTGTATCCTCCTGGCCCAAGAGCTGCAGTACAAACCCTCAGAGATATTTGTGTGAATTTCCTTTTTCTTTCTTGCTTTCTGTCTTCTTTTTTTGGTTGTCTCGTTCCTCTCTCCTGATTTACTGCATGCGCTCACGTGGCCTTGGAAAGGGGGGTTCTCAAACTGTTTTGCTTCCAAAAGGAAAAGAAGCTGGCAGGCGTTCATATTTCAGTTCTCAAGTTATGTAGGTTAAAGTCTCCCAGTGGGAAAACGGAAGATATGAGAGAGCAGATTGCTGCTGGTGATACTCGCTAGAAGGAAAACAGAAAAAAGGAGCGTGTAACTCTAGAGCTACATCCAGATGAATGTGAGGTTTGAGAGGTATGTTTTCTATCTGCTGTTAGAACATAATTTCCATAGATTTGATTCGATTTGTGATAAAATGCCTCATTGTGTCTTAAGTAATAGTAGGAATGACTAGTTTAGAAGCAGATTCTAAGCCACCAGTTGTTCATGTGCAGAGGGGGGAGCGTGTTTGTCAATGAAACCTTGTTCTCAGTAACGTAACTAAAATTAATTATGGTGTGGTCCCTCTATTAGGAGTTAAGTCAGATACGTAATGCTTTATGACTAGTTCTGAGATTTCAGCTTCTGTAGGTTAAAGTGAGGGGTTCAGGACATAAGAGTTAAGAGCGAAACGGGGCTCCAGACCCTCTCCTGAATCTTTGTCGTCCCCAAACAAAAAGCTTTCCTCTGGTTTAAGACCTGTTTGATTACAGAACGTGGGCTTGTGATCCAGTATTTGGGACTTTAAATACCAGCACTCTGCAGAAATGTGCATTAATATTCTCCTATTGAATTTTCATTGTTGAGATAATATAATTAAAATTAAATTTTTGTCAGTATATTCAAAGTAGCATATTGCATATTTTGCATTGAGCAAATGATAAGCTACGGTACACTAAACTGTTAACACAGAAAAATATGTTTGAAATGATCAGTTGTCTTCTGTTAAATGAGAGATCATTACCCAACAGTAAATGACATTTTGCAAAGACCCTTCAGTGTCTTTGTATCCAGCCCTGTGAATTAAAGTTGTCTTGTCTTGGTCAAAATTTCTGTTGTTTTTAGAGCCCCTTGAGAATTCTTAAATGCCTGACTGGTTCCATAAGGACTTAATTAAAAAGGAATTGCCTCTTTCTATTATGTAAAATAAAATATTTGGGTATGATATCTTCTTTATTGACTATAAAGTCTTAAAGTTTGAAAAATGCCCTGCTTAGAGTGCAGACACGATCTGTTGAACTGGAACAAAGACAGACCTGTCAATTAGCTCTCCTATTTCAGCTGTTGCGTAGCTACATTTTCCCCTACTGAAACCCAGCCTTGATCTTTCTAAATGAATGGCAAATACTACTGTTAAATCCAATGCCTGCAAGGACTGAGTACTTGTCTGTCTATTGCTTGTATCTACATTGAAAATATTTCTTTTACTCTTCTGATTAAAAGCTGACATGAGGGCAGGAGATGCAGATTTGCTTTGAGAAGGACTTTGACAGTAAATGACATTTTGCAAAGACTCTTCAGTGTCTTTCTATCCAGCCCTGTGAATTAAAAAAAGTCAAAGCTTGCTTTCCTAATAGCCTTCTTAAAAGGCTGCTTTCATGCCTGTGAAGTCCCAGGTGACCCTCAGGTGTGAAGTACCTGATTCCCCACTGGTGAGTGCTGCCTTTCTACATTATTTTAACTGCACAGAGTGCTGGAAATAGTATGAGAAAGCCAAGAAAAGGATCGTGAGGAGCTTCGGTGCTGTCTTTGGTCACAGAAGTTCCCGAAGTATCTCCAGCTCCTGAGTCAATAATCTTTCTGCTCTGCTGGCCCCAGAAAGCACCATCTGTAATCACAGATAAAACCCAGCTGCTCGCTTCTCTGCCAGGCTAATTAAAAAACGTGGTGACCTCCCTAGGGCTAATTGTGTCCTGTCAGTGGGATGGAGGAAAGGAGTCCAGCGGGGTTGCCTGGTATTTCAGCACTCAGCTTACTGACATAATTTTAAATGGTTTTTATTTTATTGTAACTATGTGATTCCAGAGCTAAGACAGCTGCAGAGTGCATGTCTAACACATGGTTTCTGATCTGCAGGTGAGTGATGTGATAGAAAAGTGCTGCTAGCAGATGAATTTCCTGCAGAACCTCCCTTTCCACCAGCATCAACATGCAGAGCAACTACTCCCTGGTCATCACCACCAGAGAAACTCTCCAAGTCCTCTATACAGCACTGACAAACTCATCGGCTGCATTGCGCTCGCCCCCTCCCTGCCCACTTACCTCTTCAGATTATCAGTTTTCACTAATTCCAGCACTCTTCTCTGTGGTTTTTGTTCTGGGTTTGGTTGGTAACAGTGTGGTGGTTGCAGTGCTTTGTTGTCACAGTGGCTCCCAAACAGTTGCTAATACCTACATTTTCAACCTGGCCATGGCGGATTTGTTGTGCCTCGCCAGCCTTCCCTTCTGGGCTACGTACTACGCGCAGGGGTACAACTGGTTCTTTGGGTCTCTCATGTGCAAAATCGCCAGTTCTGTCCTGTGCTTGAACATGTTTGCAAGTATATTTTTCATTACGTGCATGAGCGTGGACCGGTGCCATGCTATTGTCCATCCTATTCGCTCTCAAAGAAGAACTCCACAACAAGCTTATTTTATAGCATTGGTTGTGTGGGGCCTTGCCTGTTTGTCCTCCCTCCCAACTTTCTATTTTCGTGACACTCACTACATTGAAAGCTTGGCGGTCAATGCTTGCATTATGGCCTTTCCTCATGAGAATTATGCAAAATGGTCTGTGGCAACAGCCTTCCTGAAAAATGCACTCGGCTTCTTCATCCCCTTGACAGTGATCACCACGTGCTACATCTGGATCAGGAGGCACTTGCTCAAAGCACAGGAGTTTGGGAAAAACAAGCAGAAGAGGGACAAAGTCCTAAAGCTGGTGGCTGCTGTTGTTGTGGCCTTCTTAATTTCCTGGCTCCCATTCCACATTTTAACGTTTTTGGATGCCTTGGCTCGTATGAACGTCATTAACAACTGTGACGTGACAGGGATCATTGACACAGCACTGCCGTTTGGCATCTGCATGGCATTCGCCAACAGCTGCATCAACCCTTTGCTGTACTGCTTTATTGGGAACCAGTTCCAGGAGAAGCTCCATCGCTTGTTTAAGCGACGAGTTTATCAGTTCAACAGCCATCAAGAGAGCTCTTCTTTGAGGAAAGGGAGCTGCTTCAGAGATGCTGAGACACCCGTGGGCAGGGAGGGGGGGCCTGGGTCCTTGCTGTAGGCACTGGGGCATGATGTGGGGCAATGTCAGTGCAGCTGGCTGTCCCTGCAGTGGTGACACTCCTCTCTCCTGTTCCCTTTGGTTTGTGCCCATTCATTCACCATCTCTTTGAAGGAGAATCCGTTTTTCTCATACATGGGGATTTATTCTTCCTTCCTTTCAACAATGAACACTCAAGTTTGACATAGAGGGAAGATTCTGGCAAATAAATATACTGATGGCATTTTAAATATCAGCTTTTGTGTGGCTGAGATCAGGTGAGTGTTTAGTGTAACACAAAAAGACAAAATACACCAAAGTACCATTGCACGATAGCTACAATTGTGTAGGTGCTATTATACCCTAAGCTGATTTTCTAAGGGATTCTCACTAGACAATGTGTAAATAAAGAAGTGCAGATACTTCTGTACCTATCTGTAAGAAAATATTTTGACCTTTTTTTTTTTTTTTAAATATATGGCTAAAGATGTCGTATGTAAAATGCATCGAATACACCTCCCGCTTGCTTAGGCCTGGGATCCTGAGAACAGGTGGAAACACGGTTCTGCAAACTACTGGAGGCAGGAGAGTATTCTTGGGGGAAAGTACAACCACATGCATGTTTTTATACCTTTCTCATAGCAGGTAACAGGTTTGCAGGCCAGATGGTCCTTTGCTTTGATTCAGTGTGGTCACTTTTGACAGTAATGTCCCAGGAACTGAACATGCTACGTCCCACTGCTACATGGGCATGCTGAGTCCCACGGAAAGGACTTGCTGATTGTCTAGACTGTTTGCATTTTACATGTTGATTACTACTGTAATTTTGGGGTACTGTGTACAGAAAGCCTAAGTGACTCTGTCTTGACACCCAGAAGCAAAATCATGGTGTGACTCCTAAGACTTACCCACACATCTCAGTATGGGAGTTTACTCATTTGTAAATAAAAGAAAGGGGGGGGGGGGGGGAAGTATTTGGCAATTACTGATTCTACTTTGAGGTCACTTTTGATGATTATTTGAAATTTTCTATTGCTGGAGAGATACTGGTCCTTTTGGACCCTTCAGAAAGGATCATGTTTGATAGGCTCAATCTAAAAGAGGGATCTGTTAGCACCTTGCTCAGTTGCCAGCAGGTTGTCCCCAGGCTGGGGGACTGAAAGATCATTAGTTTCAGGGAATTCTCTCTGACAAGTTACTCTTGAGGGTTGCATTAGCAGTTTTGGGTCCATGGGTCAGAAATTATACCTGCTGGTTGGGTAACCAAGAGTATGGCATCCCTAGAAGTCCCAACACTGGCTGGTGCCTGGAAGCTGTGGGAACCTGGAGCAGAAGCCATCCTTCACTGTTAGGGTGGTGGTAAGTTTCTTCACTGATGCCCGTGAAAATGGGATTATGCAAGAAATGTGCCAGTCTCAGAGTGACGCGAGATGAAAAGTTTATGCAGAACTTGGTAAAATGGGAGCTTGACCACAAATAACCCCTTCTCTCTGTCCTGGTCTGGTGTTCTGTAATGGGGTATGTAGCTGGAGAGATGCTTGTCCCAGAAAGTGGAAGAGCCACTAATGTGTCTCCCCTGGAATGTTTTTGTTGAAATGTTTCGAGGAGCTAATACTGTCTGGGGCGTGGGATATTTCTGGAGGGATAAACTGTTAATTGCTTAGCAATGAGCACAGCCACACAGTCATGCTACAGCAAAACAAATCATCGTACTAAGAAAATTACCAGGTGTTCAAAGTGGCAGACTCAGAGGAGCCATAAGAGGTTGTGGAGGCTTTTTACCTTTGCTGCAATACAGGTCAGTAATGAACACAACTGTGCTCTTAATTGGCATCTTTGTAGTCTCAAAACAAAAGCTAAACTACACCATCTGACCCCAGTGGTACCTGTGCTTCAGCTGTACCCATCCTGAGCGTAAGCACAGACCGCACGTTTTCTACACGTCAGTTTGGACCTGCTCAAAAAGAACAGTTTTTAATGAGTATCATGCCTTCTGTGTGTGCAGACCTATGCAGACAGGGAAATACTACAGGAATCTGAAATCCAGCTCCAGTTGCATTTACACCTGTGAGAGACTAGAGAAAATGAGTACAAAGGTTTCCCGAGGAGAGAGCAGCAATGCAGCATCTCCCACCGCTGCAGCTAGAGGGCAGGGATTAATGACTGCTTGCCGGGGCTGAGGCAGCTGCACTCTCCTAGAAACAGGGAAACAAAAAAAAAGAGTATTAAATGGGAGGCAAAACTGAGAGGGGAGCAAAATTCCTTCTTCCAAAATGCAGTTTCAAAAGAAGTCTACCCTGAAGGTTGTATTCTGCAAGACTGACAAACCAAGTGACCCCATGAGCTCAGCAGTGTGATATTTCTGTTTGCCAGATTTGCCTTGCACTTCTAACAGGTCATGAATTTGAGTAGCGTGGTTAAACAAACATCCAAAAAAATCTGTCTGGAGAGGAACCTGAGATGGAAGTGGGGGAGGTGCTGTATCAAGGGTTTTGCTTTATTTTTAGAGCAAATTGAATAATGTTGAGCTCTATGAATTTCTTCCATCATGCTCAAGTTTCTCATGGGATTTTTCAGGGATTTTTAATGGAAAATGTAGGGTTTTTTTCATAGTTTCAGTGTGTTGCATTTATTTTTTCAGGATTTTCCGCAGAAGAATGTGGACAAAAATTTAAGTAGGTTTTTTTCCTTGCAAATTTAGAAGCTACTTTTTTCCTTTCAAGAGAACATTTTGCTGATATTTACAAACAATTGGCTACAGCATCCCTCTATCAGACCCCAATTCCCCCTCCCACCCTTGTCCTTTGCAAGCCCTGTGTTCCCTTAGGCACTCCAAGAAAATGCAGACAGCCTGTCCAAGACAGGAGCCCTGCAGCCCTTTGGCAGAGTGTGCAAGCCTGGGAGCCCCGCTCAGGCCAGCCCTGACATCCTGCAGCGCCCTGAGCCTGCCCTGAGATTGTGCCCTAGAGCGATTCATGCGATTTCGTCAGGGCCACTGGGAGTGTGTGTGGTTGCTCAGTGTCTTGCTCACTCTGCAAGTACGGCGCGATGAATTTATGATCCACAGCTGGATTTTGGCTGGGGCTGCACCCGCTCTGCCCTGCCATGGTGCAGTCAACGTCAGTGGAGAGTAAAGCCCGCTGTGGAAGGGGTGCATTGTGACCTACCAGGTGGAAATGCTGATGGGTTTGGAGTCAAAGCTGAGAGTGGTAGCAGGGTTTCTTTGGAGAGGGGAACATCCTGGAGCACTTCTGGGCCTGTCAGTGGGTCTTTCCCCAAAGAGGGATGGAAGGGATGGTTTCCTACAAGGGTCAGTCGGTCTCTGTCATATTTGCACAGCAAATCCTGTTTGTGGCTTGCTTTCTAGCTATAGTTGATTACTCGCGGCTTAAATGAATTGCAGAGAGTCTCAGTCCAAACTGAGCATCCTGTTTGTGTTCTTGAGCTGACTTCAATATATGAAGCAGAGAAAGTCACTGGCATTTATTAGCACGAGCTAGTGCTGGGTGGTGAGCTAAATGCTTTGTTTATGTAAGATATACAATAAGAAATGTTTGGTACAGCGTGTTCTCCCTGAGAAGTCAACACAGCCTGAGCCTGTGCTGGCACCCACTGAGCACACTTGTCCCGTTCCTCAGGCCAGATTTTGGGCAGGAATATCATCTTGCCACCCTGTAGCCGACTGCCACAACTTGGCCACCCTTCACAACACTACCCCTTGTCCTGGCTGAAGGGCGAGGAGGTGCCATGGAGCAAGTGAACTGCTTATGTTTCCCCATGAAAATGAGGACTTTTGGATACTGTATTTGAGCGGTCCTGGTGGGCATGCAGGAAACCTGACGTGTGGAGATTGAGGTGGTCTGGCAGCCTTTCCTCCATGCTGGCAGACTTGCTGCTCTCATCTCAAATCCCCTTCCCTTGGAAGAAAATCACGGCTGTTGTTAGGAAGGGCTGCTCCATTCAGCAAGGTCCTGGGATGTACCTAACTCACATCTGCCTGCTGCGGGATCCAGCTGGGTGCAACAGGGAGGGGCTTGTTGCTCTCGCCCATGGGCTCTGCCAGGAAGGGTTTGTGAGTCTCCTACGGCTTTGCCTTACCAGATACCTTGCAGAAGGAGCCCAGGGCTGCAGTCTGCAACATCACATATTTTCTGGTCTGGGTACAGGGGTTAGCTGATTGCCTTGCTGTTTGGCAGAGCATCCAGTGAGGTACCTGGCTGGGAGCCAATGCTCCCCCCGTTTGCTAGGTTTCATTAGAATCAAAAAAGGAAAGAAAAAAACCCCAAAACAACGGAGTAAAAATTGAGATTTTTTAATGGAAAACAGCAGGTTTGTGTGTGTTTAAAGGGAAGTAATGCCTAACCCTGTGGCATACCCAGCTGCCAGCAGCAAGCCAGTGTGCATTCACCTCATCAAATGAGGTGTTTGCAGACCTTCTCCCACACTGGCATTTCTACATCTGTAATCACCACTTTGCAGTATTGTGGTGCCCTCAGCTTCTGCCACTACTGAGAAGCAGGGCTGTGGGGTGCTGGGCCTGTGTTTCAATGGGGGCACACCTGCTGCCATGGACAGTAAGGATGGGAAACAGGGGGGCTTATGCCTCTTCTGCATGGGAAGCCCAGAGGCACCTCCCCACACCACTCCTGTCCTTGATAACCCATAGGACATCCCTCCCTCCCTCCCTCTCTGTGCCCAAGCTGTAATCCTGCCCACTTCAAATGTCAGCTGTTACATCTGTCAAAGACCATAGATGGTGGTGTAACTCCTTCAGCTTCCAAAACCAGCTTTTTCGGCTTTGCTGTCTGTCTGCCACTGGGAGTGATGTGGGGCAAGAAGCCAGCAGGCCTGGCTAAAATGTTTCTGGACCTTGGTCTTGGAGTGGAGAGCCCTGGGACAGGGAGCAAGCCAGCCTCTCTTATTGCCTCTTTCAAATGTTTACTTTCCACTTCCTCTTCAGCTGAGACAGAATCTGAATTTGACACTATAAGCTCTGGATAGAACTCTGTTAATCCCCAAAACATTTCACAGGGACAAAGCAGAGTAATATGGAAGTGGATGAGGGTCATGACATTAATTTCCCTGCTGTGAGATACATCTGAACTTACTCCCTCTCCCCCGCTGACAACCAGTAGCTCTTCAGTTTAAGCAAACGTAAGTTTGCGAAGCTCTACTCCATGCCTGTAAGACAAGCAGCTATGGGAAGCCAAGATCCAGTGTGAGTTTTGGCTTTAAGAATTGTAGATTTAAATATTTTATTTAATATAATCAACAATACCCAACCCAATGAACTGCAACAGTGCAAATGCGATTTATCCAACACAGCTGCCAAGTCAACATGACAGACATCTAAAATGAAACAGAGGATGAGGC